CTGTCCTCCACATTTCTGAGCTTTGCATTGATGCTTTTATTTTCATAACCACCTTGGCTTTGCTGCGGTGTTTACATACAGCAGCGGGAGACCATTACCCTGGGATAATGCTCAATCCCACTGACATTATCCGCCTCACAGTGGAAACACGGGATCTCTGCCAACCCTCCGTAGCTGGGTGGCTGACCCGTGGTTAGGTGGAGCGGCTGCAAAACAAATAAGCCCTCTTCTATTACAAAGTTTATCCATCCATCAGTTTGCAATTTTAATATGAAGAGTTACCTTAGTTATTTCAAAACACTGGCAGTTGAAATTCAGTTTGTTTTGGGTTTGTCTTGATTTTGAGGTTGGAGAAATAGCTGATAAGAACTCACTAAAAAAAAACCCAGCATGATTTGATTTGTTTGTACAGCAAAAAGATTGTTCTTTAATCCCTTCGGAGTTGTTGGATTTGATACTCCTGCCAGTCGAACTAATGAAAAATCCTCTGTCAGGATGTGTCAGGAAACCCGGAGACATCCATCCCCTTGCCACATCGCCTCTCCTGATGGCGGTGGGTATCCTGAAAATGGCAGGGCAAGGGACACAACTCCTGCATCCCTTTGTGAAACACAGTAGCCGTGCTCTGTGCCAGAAAGCAGCACAAGGATGGCAGTCTGTATTTGATATAAAATTAGACCCAATTGTCAAACAGGAGGTACAGGAGAAGACTTTTTTGGGAAAAAACAAAACAAGCTACCAAACCCGGCAACAACACTACTGGATAATCACTTGTGTGGTTTGTTTTTATCTCCTCACTTAGAGCAGTGCAGTGAAATCCACTATTTTTAAAATAATTAATGTTGTATTTGTGTTTTAGTCCTAGGTATTCCAAATAGCAATTATTTCTTTAACTGATATGAATGAGTAATTCAGTACATGAACTGTATGAAATACTTACAGAAATTAAATTAGGAATGACTGGGGAGGAGGGAAGAAGTTGGCGTTAGAGCACAGAGCAGTGTGAGGCTCCGCACCAGTTACCAGGGTAAAATTAAACAAAGATGGCCCAATCAGATCATAAGTGGGGCTAAGCCAACCCCCTCTTGGGCTCAGGTCAGTTGCTGAAGCATGGTTACCTATTGCTGTCTGAGAAGTCCTTCGACACTGGAGACATCCCTGTGGGGCTAGCTGGGGTTAACACACGACCTGCCAGGGTAGCCAGGTGGGAGTAGCTAAATCGTGCCTGTGTTCCTGCAACTGAACCAGGACCAGCTCTTTTTAGTCACTTGCTATATATGTACGTGTATTCTTAAACCCTACCATTTTCTATTAATTGAACTAGGATTTTTTGTATTGATTTAGCATGGGAGAACATCCTTTAACACCAGTAATTTCAGTCTCCTCTGTTAATCAAATATCTAAGCAGCAATTTTGGTGGCTTACAGACAGCGATCAGTTTTGGAAAAAAGAAAAAAATTATAGGAAGCATTTTTTTATGTTATTATTTTAAATATATTAAACTCCAAATGTATTTCTCTTAGAGTACAAATTACATGAATCTTGGAAGCTAAATGAGAAACAATACAGAACATTCAACCTGAAACCTCCCCAATGCTTTTTACTCAATATCTTCAAAATATCTCCTGAAAAGCTCCAAATGCAAAGAAACATTTTTTCAGAAGAAACATGCAGTAAAGTGCTCTGCACTGGGAATCTTTCAGATTCATTGCAATGGTTCACACTTTCACGAGAAGTAATAAGATAAACAAATTACGTTCTACTACCCTTTCCCATTCCAAAGACTTCCCTTGAGATATATGTGTGTGTGTGTGCATGTGTGTTTGTACACCCATAACTTGCTCCCTTTTTTAAAAATTATTTTTTATTGACTTATCTTTATATGTTACTTGGGAGAAAGGAAGATACCAAATCAGTTCAGGTGGTGAGGACAGGGTTCTTTCGTTACCGATGAAAACTAATTCAGGAACCAGAAAGTGAAACATTTATCTGACAGTTCTTCAGAGCAGGTATGTGTTTAATTGTTGATATAATCTTCAGAAGCAGGCTCTGATGATAATATTACCCTTTAATTATCACAAGAGTTCAACAGTCAGATATCTTCTAATTTTCTCACCAAGATCGAACTACTTCACAAGATATTAAACCAGAGTATTTCTAAAGCTGGGAAATCCAACCAGAGATTTTATTTGCAGTTTACTGCTTGCTGTATAAATATATATGTAGTATCCTTAAAAAATAAATCTCATGGCTGGCACTGGGAATATTTTGCTGCAGTTAAGAAGCCAATGTTTATTGGTAAAGTAGCTTCTTTTCCAAACTGTGCTGATGGATGTAGAAGAATAGTTTTAACAGAGAAAGGTGTGGTATCCACACACAGTTGGCATCTGCTCAGATTTCAATGGCTGGTCCCTATGAACGTGTTCTTTGACAATGCACATATGGCACTGCAAGGAGAGGAAAATGATGCTTCAAGAAATAGGATGATTTTTTTTGGATAATGAAGGCTAATGTATTAAAAGTAATAAATCTGGAAAATGACAATTGAGGAAATTCAATAATATGTCTTATAAACCTTTTTACTGAAGTTAAGAGTATGTCATTAATAAAATGCATACAATTAAATGAATTACTTATGGAGACATCTTCGGAAGCATTATTTTGACAATGTTAATTGTTGTCTTTTTTTTGCTAAAAGGATTATGCAAAATTAATTATCTCACTATGTAGATTTAATCCACAACACAAGACCACTGTCAGAATTTAGAAGTATTTTGAGTTTTCTAATGAAAAGATAAAAAAAAAGCCATAGTCAAATAATTTATTAGTTTGAAATTTGAAATTGTAAATCAGTTACTGTCTTTATCTGGATTTTTTTGCTTTTGACCAAATCCTACTGTATGAATGCTTGGAGAAAATCATTATAGGATATTTTTGAAGTCACATTTTTATCATAGTATTCCAAAATGTTGAATAACTCTTCAGCTAGGTCAATGCTGTAGTCATGAAAAACCTGCAAAAGACATAGACAACTTTAAAATTTATTTCAGTGCTTTGGGTGAGCAAGAAGTAAAAACTTCTGTTTATCTTGCTATAATTTCATTACAAAGTATCTTGATGGTTCAGCTCCACTCTATCTTAGGTTTCTCAGAGTTAGAAAATCAAACCTTCCTTCATTATCCCTTACACTTCCTGTGCCAATACTGGCTCCCTCGGATGTGTGTCTGAAAACCTGCAAACACAGGGGTTTTGTCCACTAGCCCAGCTAGCACTTGTCTGAGGACACACTGGGAAATGCGTAGCACTTATATGCATAGAAGCTAATTTACAGAAAGCACATATTTAAAAGGCATCCACTGCTATCTGGAGATGAGATGAAGGGGTGGAATCTTCCTTTCTATCCTTCTTGGGTGATCTGAAGCCTTTCGTCCATAGAAACAGAAGTCCCTCAAACTGTACAAACCCCGATGTATATGATAATGCACTTGATGCACTCAGTGCTTTTAATTTCCATGGAACAAATGCTCAGCCTGAAAGGTTCCTAGCACTTCAGTGAGAACCCATCTTGAGCAGGATGCATCTGTTTCACCTGATGGTAAAAGCTGGTTTAGATACCTGCATCTTTCAAATATTTGACCCAGTGTGTTTTTCAGCACTTCAGTGGTTTGAAGTGTTCCCAGTGCCCTGACGTAAAAGAAAATAATTCATTAATTTCTGAGGATTACTTCTGGGTTTAGAGGCACTTCAGAATTTAAACCCTGACAAGCAACATGGTGTGTCCTTGTGTGCTATGCCAGTTGTCATTAGTTTTTTGGCAATCTCAGATTAGTCTGCCTGTTTCCCTCTTAACAGCTCAGCATCAGAAATCACTAATGACCCCTTGCAAGATAGTACAGCCATAAATAGTGGTACTGAAGTTAGTAGAGAGCTAATTTCCCCATTTCAGTAAATTAAGTTACTTAGGAGATAAAGGGATCTGTACCTCTATAAATCACTTGACATCTTGTCAAACAGCAGATTAACACCTTTGTAGTAGGACTGTGTAATCAGGGATTGCTTCTTCGGGGGTCTAGATCCACAAAGAGTTAATTTTTTGGTGTGGGTTTGTTGGTTGGGGTTTTTGTTGTTGTTGTTTCTTTTGCTTAGCTTATATCATGTTAGGAAGCTTGGTATGAAAGTCATTGACATTGCTTTAACTACAAATAGTAATCATCATATGTCCTAGAGGAACATAACAAATTAAAATCAAACGCAAAGGAGCCCGATCTTCACTCCTCTTCCTCTGAGCCTAGTCTGCTGAGGCAGTGCCCAAGCAGTCAGAAAGCAGCAGCAATAGACAGGGAGCCTCGGGCAAGAATTTGATATGGCCTCATTGACACATCTAGCTTCTCAGCCTTTGCAGAGCAGCAGGCAGGGACTCGGGTTTCAGTTATGTGGCAGTGCCAGAACATATCACATTCCCACCTGTCCTAAATGAGTAAAGATTTGACATTTCTGTGACCAGTAGTACCAGACACCAAGGGGTGTCCTAATGCACACAGCATTTAATGGGTTCAGGCCCCACTCTATTCTTTTTGTTTTTTTTGTTTTTCCTTACAACTGGATAGAAAGTAGTCAGAATTACTTCAGAACAGTGATTATTAGTATTAGTTAAAACAGTGTCAAAGATTTTTAAATCAGTAAAGCTAAGCAAAAATCAAACTACCCATTGATCTTGGTGAAGAATCACTGATATCCAGAATGCACGGGTGTGTATTTGCTGTTTGAGGAGATATGAGATGCCTAAATACTTGCGCAGGATATGGATCCCTTACCTAATACAGAATTATGCTGCATACAGAAGAGAAAGGATTCCAGAAACAAAAAAGAAAACAGAAACAGAGGCTTTCAAATCAGAATTACTTGAGCCCATTCTAAATTTAGAAGTGGCCACAGCAGTCAGAAGGTCACAGGGTCCTGCAGCTATAGCAGTGCCTGTACAGAGATCTATCGGCAATTACGCTTGTGTTTTGTTGCCATGTGTTTGTGAAAGATACCCATTTAAACTTGGTATAAGGGCTAAGGTAGGTTTTTCTCTGTTTTATCTGGTCAGGATCCCACTAAGACCTCAGACCTCAAGGAATTGTAACTACATGTAGAGAAAGATTACTGTGAGTGATGTTCAGAGCTGAAGTCACAGACAGGATCCAGAATGAAATTATATGCTCTAGTTCAGTACCATTTTCCAGAAAAAAAATCAATCTGGAAGCTTAGATTAGACAGCTGTAATTTTCTGACCATTATTTGGTAAATACAACCTACTTGTCTGAAATCTGAAACATTTAACAGACCGCTACGAGTTTCATCATGGGATTTAAAAGTTCGCTCCATTGGTCTCCAGCAGTGCAGGATCTTGGGCTGAATTCTCAGCATTGCACTGAAAAATGACGTGGTTTGTGGTCCAGGACTCAGCTAGTGAAGTTGGATGAGAAAGACTCACATTTAGTAACAGATCATGGACACAACTGGGAAGAAGAACTATAGTGCAGAGAGAAAAGATGCTGGACTGTAATACTGTCTTAATACTGTAAACAATAATTTGTTTACAAATTATTGCAAGATACTGTTTACACAAGATCATTTTAACCTATAACATTTTGATATTCTTGGGAAGTGCAGATGGTATATTTACTTAATCACTGTCAAAGCCTTAACTTTTTGTTATTTGAAACTGATTCCGAAGTCAGTGTTACTTCTGCTCAGATCTCAGTGTTTTCACATGTATTCAGCTTGCCTTTTCTCGACTCCTTCTTTCAGTCATTTTTAATTCTCTGCACTGTTCATTTTTCAAAGTGACTGCATAAGCCAACTGTGGGAGCAGTACAGTATTTAACAAAACCCAAAACCTTACTATACACTTTTCCCAGTTTAAAAATAACTTATAACCAGTTTTTGAACCTTTGTTTTCACAAGTCCATAAGGTTAATTTTCACTAGGACGTGCTGTGACCTGCTGCTTTTAGCCTGGCTAAACTCATTACACTGGTGTGCCCTGAACACCCAAGAAGTGCAGAACTATTCATTAAGGCAAAATTAATTCCACTTGTACAAAGCTTTAACACTGGTGTGATAAGGGACTTTTCCCAAAGCCAGCAAGCCCCAGTCCACCTGCAGGCTCTGGACCTGCTCTACTACCTTTTTCTGAAAAATAAACCAAACCAAACCATCTCCATCTCACTTTCCTGGTATTTATTATTGTAACTGGGTGCCAGTTGCGCGTGCCACTGCAGCCTCCACAAGCATCTGCGCGTGAAGGAAGCACACAGTTGACTTTATACATCTGCTTTGTGAACGCACAGAGGCTGTGCTGCACCTCCATGTGTTATAAGAGGCCTGGGAGGCAGCTGCACCATCTTTCTGTGCTCTTGGGGTATTACTTTGACAGACTATGTAGCTAAGGAATGAGTGGGTACATGAATAATGCAGTTTCCAACCCAAAGTACTGAGCCCCCCTTGTGGGCTGAAGGAAGGGAAAGAGCGCTTTATGGTGACTACAACATAGGTTATTTTCATTGCTCAGAGCCTGGATGCTTCCATGAAGCCCTAGGCCATCGATTCTCTCAGGCTTTTGAGAAAGAGAAGGAATTGTGCCTGCCACTGAAAGAAAAATGGTTTATTTGTGGGTTTTATGATTCCTTTTGATGTGTATCTGTACACTTATTAGGTGAAATGGACTGAACAATCTATGAGGAAATTTTGCTTTGCATATTACCTTATATAAAGGTGCTCAGAACATGGACTGAGACCTTCATTATTTTTTCTGAATAGAATAAATAAAATAAAAATTATTTGAGACAACTACATAAGGACTTAATAATTACTGCTTTATCCCCCCCAGAACACTGGGATGGAATTTTACAACATCAAGTTTGTGTATAAAGGAAGATCTTATGGAAGGTAATGAAGTTCTTTAATGCAAAACTTAATGGTTTTACCTTACTGTCCCTCCTGGTAGTGAATACTTGGTAATTCCTAATGATACCCTCTTCATACCTTGGTAGCAATCTGTTCATTCCACATGTGAAAACAGTTCAGTAATGTGATTTCTCTATAAAATGCTGCTACTAACCATATCTAAACTAATTAGGCACAGTCAGAAACAGCCTAAAAATGTAGCAGGCTCGCTGAATGAGCAGATTTGGAATTTGGCACCGTTCCTACTACATAACTTGATTGGGATGCTATTACCAACGCCTTCCTTTCTGGCCCACCAGAGCCAGATTTCAGTGTCTCTTCTGATCTTTTCTGCCCTAAAGCAGTACTGCAGGCAGAGGAAAACAGCCTGTGTGTAGCCATTTTGCTGGGACTCTTTTGCCTCTTCATTGTAGCTTAGGGAGATGGTATATGTGGCAGGGAGAGCTGCAAGGGCGCAATGTGTGTGACCAGTCCTGGATAACAGATATTTTTAATGTCCATTAACAGCACAGCAAGTGAGAGCTTCTTCTGGGCTTTTCTTAGGGTGCTGGGTGTGGAGCAGAGGCATAGTGATGACAAATTGGGGTCATCCTAAGACACATCCCAAGGACTTTTGATTTCTAGCTTGATTTCATTTAGTTCAGCAAAAGCTCTTAAACTGTCAGCTCCCATGTTTTCTGTTTGGAATTAGTGTTCAAATTTTAGCAAATTTGGCCAATTTACCTTATAACCTGGATACACCGAATATGTTCCCAAGGAGCTCTAACTGAAAGAGATACCAAATGAATACTAGGCAATTAGTACCATGGTATTAAATAAGAGAAAGGAAAATCACTGTTTAAAAGTGACTGTAAAAATGGGCCATGAAATAACTTTTCAGTATAGCAGAAACTGAAAAAGAATTTTGCTTTGATTTTTATGACCTGTGTACCTACCGGCTCTTGTGGCTTCTGTAGAATCACCCTCTTCAGCAGTGAGGTTTCCTTTGGTTTTAAGAACAAGACACAACTCTGAAGAAAGTCATAGTATGCAAATGTTCCATTTTTCTTGGAATCATATTTTGCTGTTATTGGTTAATCTCCCCTTCACTTAAATCCAAATTGAATTTCCCTACTACATCTGAAATGCAAAGAAAGAATATTAATTTTGTCATTCTTAAAAATAGCCAGTCATTGTCCTATCTTCACAAGTTTTACCTGGGATATGCTACCAGGTCATCAGTTGCAGTGACTGCTGCGTGTTATGCAGCTCTCGCTACATGCAGGTATACGCATATGCATATACCTATGGGGCAGTAGTTCACTTTTTACATGGTTTCAGCGGACTGATAACATGTCATTTTGATTTTAAATGTGCAAGAAGTATTCCTTGATGTTAACTGAGATAAAAAATTTGATAAGCTAACATGCTCTTATAGCCATGACTTTACATTTGATTATACAGGTGTGCAATCATCACACACACACAAATGTGTGTGCTTCTAAGAGTAAAATCCAGGGTCCTCTCAAATCAGCAGGTGTTGAGCATTGAAACCAGTGCAACCAGAAACACACACAACCTCACAAGGAAAAGTCTGGCGAATCTATTTACTGACATATCCCCAGGCACAGAAAGGATAGTGAATTGGGAAGGTAATGAGGAACTTGTATGCATGCTAACGTACCCACAAGCAAAGCCATGCACTCCTTTTTTAAGGAGTAGCTAATTCTGAATAGGAATGTGAATGTATTGCACCCAAGGCTATTCTGCTCTGCAATAGAAAGGTGGAGAAATCATGCAGTGGGTGGCACTTACTTCAGGCCAGATGTTCCTATGGCTGAGACACCAGAAAGACAACAGAACACACCTGAGAATGAATAAAGCACTTTTCAGATGGTAACAAACCTAGGAAGTCTGACAGTGGGATTTCTCCTACATTGCTGATATCCTTCTCTTTGCACACTTTCAGTATCCCTTTCCAGGAATGTTCGATTTTCTTTCTTATCCTATTTTCTATTGTTTTGCAGTTAAGGTCATGTGCAGAACAAGTTTTCTGAGGACAACTGGATGCTGGTTTCTAAAAGCAAAAGATAATGCCGTTTGGTTTTTTTTCTATTGAGTTTTACTGGTTGTGTAGACAAATCACCAGATGACAAATCCAGTTTCTGGTCTTCCAGGCTTGAGATTAATGTACCATTTGGAACACTTCTAAGTCTGGTTTGAATTTGGTCTGCAAAACCGTAGGTGAAAATGTGAGAACACTCTTAGTGTCAAAATGACACTGTACATTTAGCGGGCCTTGATCATTTTTTCTTAATTTGGCTTGATGTTTTGTATTAAACAACAGATACCATAGTCAAAAAAAGCTGTGTAGAACCATCTCAGACCAAACACAAACCAATGACGGTCACTGAATTATGAAATAACATTGCTTTGATTTGCTACTGGGAGGACTCAGTTCTGCAGTGGTCCTATGCAGAACCATAGAAGGAGTATGAAAGGATCTTGGTGAACAGTGTCTTTTTGACTGCTGCCTCAGAAGTACTGTAGGTGAGCTGGGAGCAAAGTCTCAGCCTGTGAGACGTGCATAAGTGGTATTTATGCTTCCAGATCCAGTGTATAATCTCATATTTACTGAGAGTTCAGGGTCTCATTGGTGCAGACTTGCTGAGGCTTCAAACATATACCCATGCAATGAATGCTGCAGGAACATTCATCTTGATTGGTGTTCAGGCTGGCTGGGGTCTTTCCAACAGCTGTAAGTTTGGGAAGAGTTACGTTCTGTTCCTACTGCCCAATCTAACATTCACAGGCAGTAACAAGGAATTTTCTGTTGCTTTCACTGGGAACTGGATAAAAGCGTAAAGGATGCATGTAAGCAATTGTCTGGGCTTTTCAAGAAAGAACCTATAGTTAATGCAATAATTGAGCCAGAGATGGGACAATGTTTAGTTTTACCAGCCCTGACAAGTTGTTTGCATCTTTAATTTGCTCAATCTGTTATTTCTTTTTCAGTAGCTAAACATCTCCATGTAGCAGTAGTCAGAAAATCCAAGCATGTTCCAGGCACTGAATAATTCTAAATATTTTATTTTTCTGTTGTAGGTTTGGTTGTAGCTGAAGAACTAGAATAAGTAGGTGCAGCTCCGCAAGTGGGATATTTCAATTCCTGTAGTGATTTCCCCATCTTTCTGTGAATTCTAACACTTGGGTAAGAGGCCAGCATGGCAGTGGAGAGAACCAAATTGCATTATTGACAGGAAGTATAGGTTTGGATGCAAAAATGAAGCAAAACTATTGCATTCCTAATCCATTTCTCCTACCTCCCTTGGATCACTGTCCTTCATGGTAAGTCTACCAGTCAGACCATCAGGCATTAACAGCTATTGTTTGGTAACTACCAGAAAGCAGGCAAGACCACCAGAATGTTTTAGGACAGGCCAGCAAACATCTTAGGAAAACTGCAACTGCCAATCCTGCCTAGCTTTGTCAGATGATCACAGATAAGCTGTCTACATTTTTTGTATGCTGCTTTTGCAGCTATTGGGCACTTGGAGTTTGGATTTTCTTTGTTCTCAGAAATCTGATTGTGCTTAAAGACAGAAATTTTATTAGCTGCACAGCACTGATGGATATGCATATGGTAACAGCAGGGAATGCTATTAGTAAACATTGACACATATCCTTTGACTTCTGTAGAGTTACTGTCTAGCCCAATTTTCGTCATTGTAACACAGTTTTGCAAATTACCTTGTTTGCTAATTGGCAGGTGCTTGTGTCTGATTTCATGGAAAATCAATAAGAATACTTTCACTGAGTTCCACAGATATTATTTTCAACCTATTCACAATCCAGAAAATCCAGAAAATTCACAGAAAAAACACATGCTGTTTTGCACTGGAGAAGATGATGTCTTGGGACGTTCAGCCTGAGAAGACATGTGTGGATCATGCACTGCACAGGTAGTAGCTGACTTGGTAGAAGCTGCAGGGAGTGCTTGATGGTATTGTTAGAAGTTCAGAGCTGAACTTCTTCAAAAAAGTCCTGTTATTTCAACTGTCCACTATCACAGACATCCAAGGTGTTCCAAAGATTCTCAAACTAATAATGAAGAAAAAGATGGCTTTTGTAAATTCTAGTTTTACAAAACCAGAATCCCTTTATGTGCTAATAATATGACAAAACATGTATTAAAAAAGTGTGAGGATGCTTTGGAATATAAGGAATCCTAGGGCTCATCTTATTAAAAAAAAATAAAATCAAAGCTTCTCTGCAGAAGCCCGCACAATGCTGGAAAAACAATGAAAAAAAAAAGGATTTCTGCAGGACATTTTTTAATTGAATTGGGCCCTTAGTGTGCTGTTTCAACTACTAAACCCTGTGATTAGACACAGTGATTGAGCTGCAGTATAGAAGGATAGCGCTTTAACATGAGATGTAAATCAAATACATGATGCACCTATATCCTGGTTAAGTACCACTGAGGCAAATTTCTCACGCTATCAGGTGCACCTAAGTTTATATCACCATCTCAGGAGGCCATTAAGGTTCCTCAGTTATTGTATTTGCATCAACAAATTATTCCACCCTGAGGGAAAAAATGAATCAGCATGAAAGAACATAGCAGGAAATCTTTACAGCCTTGAGAATCGCATATAGTTATGATGTACAGCCAGCCTACAGAAGACCTGGGGGCAGCTGCTGATACCCTTGTTTCTGCTGCCCATGGAGGTTCATGTGGCTACTTGGCCTGGCACAGGGCAGGTACCCCACCTTCTGGGTTTTGTATGGAATCCTATGGAATCAGCTGAGTTGATTTCCTGCTGAACAGCAATTTATTCAGTAAGTAGCTGCACTGAATTAAATGGGACTACTCATGATATAAGCTACTAATCAAAGCAAGGATTAGCACAGCCTGCCCTTAAATAAGTTGCACTCATTTTGTGTTTCAAGAGTCATCAGTATGCCTTTATAGGGTCTTCATTATTGATTTTTAATATAAATCTAATTGGGAACCTCAGATTCCTTTTGATTTGATCTTTTTTGGCAAAGACTTAAACCCTAAAGGAAACTAGTCACCTCTTTGATGCATGTGCCAAGTTGCAGTCAAACTTCAAAGGGCAAAGGATACATTTTGAATTTCCTTTCAACTTTCCCCCATTGGCCTGGCTGCTACCACATTATGAATTATAAACAATTCTATTTTGCGCTTCTGATTATACTTTGCACTTCATACAGGGATCTCAAAGTGTATTACAAACTTCAATTAAATAGAACAATACCCTGATGAGCTGGATTAGCTATAGAAATGATTTTAACACCCAACAAAGTTTAGCCATTTGGGGGATTGCCGATAGTTCAAGCAAGTCAAGGGAGTTCAAGCAAAAAAAGCGCCTGTGATAAAAAGGGGGTGCCAGCTGGTGAGATATTAATCAACACCTTGCTTGCAGAGTTTTTACCATCATTAGCCTTTTATGAAAAAGGTCACAGTATCAGAAATTCTGAAAGACCAAGAAGACCAAGAACCCAGACTTCAGGAAAAAATTCTTCACTCACTACTTGATGTAGACCGCAGCTGAGCCTTGCTAATAGCAAACAGTAAGTGGCGATCATCCAGGAAAGTAAAAGAAGATGTTTTCTGTGAAGTCATCCAGGCTGTGACTTTAGAAACACTTTTGTAACAACTCTAAGCAGTGACAACAGCCAGAATGGCAGGGGTTTGGATTAGCAGTGGCGAAACCTGTACCCAGATTGGAAGGCGCTCCTGGGGCATCTTCATATAGATATACGTAGGCATATCTTTGAGAAGCCTGTCAAAATCAAAATATCTCTGGAAATACAGGGCTTGAGTCTCACTCACACAAAGGCTGCTGTTTATATAAATGAAGCTCCTCAGGCCTGTTTCTCGTTGCTATTATGGATGACAGTTTCTATCGAGATTCTTTTTTATTCACTTGCCTGAGGTTCTTTAAAGTATAAAATAGCTCCTGTGTCCCTTTGCTGCTTCTTGAGTGTAGACAGGATCTAGTCTGGAGGACTTTTCAGCTGGAGATGCCTGCCTTATGCTTCCAAAAAAAAAAAGCAAATAAGAAAAAACGAAGATATTTTTCACATCCCAGGAAGGTGCGTGCTCTCCTGCCTTGGCCAGGGCTCCCCTGCGAGCTCACCCCAGTACTTCTGGTCAGTGGTTCACAGGAATGAGGAAAGAGTATCACCACATTTTCACTTCTGCTTTCAACTGGTGTTGAGGCTTCAGGTTCAAATGAAGCACTTGCACTTAGCTGCTCACGAAAAGTGTGGTGAGGAATAGAGTATGCAGGAATAGAGCACATAGGACATTTGGGGTTTTCTGTTATTTTCAAGAAGGAAATGGAAGATATATTTTAATTTTTAGAGTGCTTTCGTCTGCAACTTTACACATGTGCAGCAGCACCTGATAACATGGAAGACTGTGCAATCTCTTTGTTGCAATCACAAGCAGGCCCTGCTCCTGTCTGCAATTTATAGTAAAAAATGCTGGGCTAGAGGGTATACCTGTAATGAGCAAAGTACCAAAATATCTTTCTGTAGTGCAGACATGCATACGAGTTTGTTGCCAAATGGCATTGATGCAATCATGATCATGAAGGTTAGAATGCTGCTAAGTAAAATCTGAAATCTTTTAGTCAAGGTTCCCTCTGTTTTATTACTCACCTCATCTTTGGACTAGGAAAAAACACACTGAACCAGCATTAACAAAGATAAAAATATGGTTCTTTTCATTCTAAATTCAGCAGAAGCAGAATGTTATGAAAGACTGGCCTCTCAGGTTGCCCTGAGACTAGCATTAGGCTAATAAGACAATTTGTACTGGCAGATTCATGCCATGACTTCAGTCATTCAAGCTAAATTCAGGGTTACATAAACTCTGCTAACACTAATCTGGTGGAATCTTTTACCCAGAAAAGTGGCTGAAAGGTGGCCAGGAAATGTCAAATGCTTGTCCCTTTCTTTGTCCAAGCAGTTCAAAATAGCTACTGAGAAAAAAGGAATTTGCATTAAAGGAATGAGCTCCCCATGGAAATACCT